CGATAAACTCACTCTGGGTCAAGAACTTTATGTACGAGTTCCACATGCAGTACAGACGTTGTTGGATTACAAAGGAAATCATTGGTTTAGTAACAGCGGTATGACCAAGTATCAAGCAATGTTGTGTGAAAACCCAAGAGTGCATTTAGAGACTGTAAATACCTTAAATCCAGCTACCCTTTTGCCACAACCTACTGAAAGTCAACATGATTGTTTGGAAGTAATGGATGAAGTATTTTCAAGTAGACCAGATCTTCGTGATTTTCCCATCCAGAACCCTGATGTTCAATATTACACCGACGGCAGTAGTTATGTAAAAGAAGGGATCCGCTATGCAGGATATGCAGTAACAACGATAGACAAGGTGATAGAAGCTCGGCCACTGGCAAAAGGAACATCAGCACAAAAGGCAGAATTGATAGCACTGACACGAGCGTTACAATTGGCTGAAGGTTTAAGAGTGAACATCTACACGGACTCCAAGTATGCGTTTTTAACCACTCATGCCCACGGAGCTTTGTATAAAGAAAGAGGACTATTGAATTCAGAAGGCAAAGAAATCAAATACGCAGCTGAGATCCTACAACTATTGGAAGCAGTGTGGGAGCCGAAAGAAGTCGGTATTATACATTGTCGGGCGCATCTGAGAGGAGATGGTGATGTAACCAAAGGGAATCGGATGGCAGATAGTGCAGCTAAGCGTGCTGCTGAATCAGGAAGACAGGAATATGTGGGGCATATAGCTGCTCTTATACCAGCTCCACTGTCTCAATGGACTCCAATTTATACAGCTCAGGAAGAGGAGTGGTTAAGGACTGAACCTGGAAAGTATTTGGAGAACAAATGGTATCAGTTAGAAGATGGAAGAATAGTTATTCCAGCATCACTAGCGGTAGAAATTGTCCAAAACTATCATAACGGGACACATTCTGGGAGAGACAGTACAGAAGAATCTCTCAGAAAACATTTCTACATACCAAGATTGTCCAACTTGACTCAGGCCATTGTACGTAGATGTGTAACGTGTGCTAAAAATAATGCAAGACAAGGACCAGTAAAGCCACCAGGAGTCCAGTTTATGGGGGGACTTCCCATGTCCGATTTACAAATTGACTATACAGTGATGCCTAAATCGGGTGGACATCGCTACCTTCTGGTAGTGGTGTGCACCTATTCAGGCTGGGTAGAAGCATGTCCTACTCGTACAGAGAAAGCAGGAGAAGTCGTGAGATTCCTGCTACGAGAAATAATACCCCGATATGGACTACCCTGCTCTATAGGATCGGACAATGGTCCAGCTTTTGTTCATCAGTGCCTACAACAATTGACTCATATGCTTGGTATAAAGTGGAGGCTTCATACGGCATATAGACCCCAGAGTTCTGGTAAGGTAGAGAGAATGAATAGAACTATTAAGAATCAGTTGGCTAAAATGTGTCAGGAAACCCAACTTAAGTGGAACGTTCTCTTGCCCATAGCTCTATTGCGAATCCGTAGTACACCTACCAGAAGGATGGGCCTCTCTCCTTTTGAAATCATGTACGGGCGACCACCTCCCGTGCTTGGTAACTTAAGGGGGGATTTGAGTCAGTTGGGAGAAGGAATTACCCGGCAGCAGGTTGTAGAGTTGGGTAAGACTATGGAGGAGGTACAGAAATGGGTACAAGATAGATTACCTGTGAATATTTATCCCCCAATTCATAGTTACCACCCAGGCGACCAAGTGTGGATTAAAGAGTGGAATAATGTGCCGTTAGGGCCCAAGTGGAGAGGTCCTTATGTTGTTCTTCTGTCTACCCCTACAGCGATAAAAGTAGCCGAAGTGGCTCCGTGGATACATCACTCCAGGGTTAAACCAGCAGCAGCCGATTCCTGGCAAGTTACAGCAAATCCAGAGAATCCCTGCAAGATCCGGTTAAAACGCACGACTCAGTCGGAGTGACGAGGAACCTTGTGGATCACAAATTTTATTGTTTCAGAGACTTGGTAAGTGAGTGAGAAGGCCATAATAAAGCCTGTCCACTCACCAACGAGTGTATAAGTCAGGGAAAGTCTTGAGGGGACCCCTGTGAAGACGAGCAGAACTCCATTCCCTGCAGTCCTTACATCCTGGAAGCTGAGGTGCCTTCGCACGGACGAAGACTGAGGATGACGACGAAAGATGTATTTTTAATAATGTTTATTTATGTGTATTTTTATATTCAGGAAGGTAGAGGTACCGACACTCCTAGCTGTGAGGTATGCATTAAGACTACAAGAACAGGTAACCATATATCCCAGACCCTAATTTGGCATTCGCAATATGAGTGTAAAGGAGATGTATCAAGATGTAGATACTTAAATATAGAATATAGTGTGTGTCATTTAGGAGTAGGAGAACCTAAGTGCTTCAGTCCTGAGTATCAACCCCGTACAATTTGGTTGACTCTCAGAAATGGAGATCCTCAGGGGACCCTAATTAATAAGACGGTATTAGAATCCGTATATTCTTCAGGTGCTCTGCTATTTGATGCGTGTAAAGCAATATCAAGTGGTAGAAAGCCGTGGAATGTATGTGGGGATCTTAGATGGGAGAGGACGTATGGGTCTAACGATAAATATATTTGTCCCAGTAGTAAAAATAGATATGTAAGTCCAAGATGTCCAAATAGAGATTATAACTTCTGCCCATATTGGTCTTGTGTGGGGTGGGCGACTTGGGGACAGACAGCAGACAAGGACATGATTGTGACTAAGTTGCCTATTGATCCATATTGTAAGTCTATGGAATGCAATCCAATCCATATACTTATAAATAACCCTGACAAGTTCTTAGATAAATATGGTAATTTATTTGGGTTTCAAATATATGGGACGGGTTTAGACCCTGGGACAATATTGTTTATAGGGATAGAGACTGATACGGTAACCTCCCAAACTCATCAAGTATACCATTCCTTTTATGAAGAGATGAGCATAGATAATAAGATCCCCCATAATGCTAAAAACTTGTTCATTGATTTAGCCGAGAGTATTGCCGGTAGTCTTAATGTTACCAACTGCTATGTGTGTGGAGGTACTAACATGGGAGACCAATGGCCTTGGGAAGCAAAGGAGGTAATGTCCGGTTCTGAGGCAGTTGACCAATTAATATCTATACAAGCCGACTATCATATGAGTGTTAGAGGTAAATCTGAGTGGAGATTGAAGTCCTCCATCATAGGTTATGTTTGCATAGCGAGGAAAGGAATGATGTATAATACTTCTGTAGGAGAATTAACTTGTCTAGGGCAAAAAGCTTATGATGATGATACAAAGAATACAACTTGGTGGTCGGCTTCAAATGTCTCAGAACCATCTAACCCGTTTGCAAGATATGCCAATTTAAAGGACGTATGGTTTGATCTATCCATCACATCTAACTGGAGAGCCCCAGCGAATTTGTACTGGATCTGTGGTAAGAAGGCCTATTCGGAGTTACCACAGGACTGGGAAGGGGCATGTGTGTTGGGTATGTTAAAACCATCCTTCTTCTTGTTGCCTATTGAAACAGGTGAGACTTTAGGTGTTAAAGTGTATGATGTGAATCATAGGAAGAAAAGGGGACCCATAGAGATAGGTGCCTGGGAAGATAATGAATGGCCTCCCCAGCGTATTATAGATTATTATGGGCCAGCCACGTGGGCAGAGGATGGTACCTTTGGTTATAGAACCCCTATTTATATGCTCAACCGCATTATAAGGTTACAGGCGGTGGTTGAGATCATTACTAACGAGACATCACAAGCGCTCAATCTTCTAGCGAAGCATAATACCAGGATGAGGACAGCAGTTTACCAAAATAGATTAGCCTTGGATTATCTTTTGGCAGTAGAGGGAGGTGTATGTGGGAAGTTTAACCTGAGCAATTGCTGTCTTCAAATAGATGACGAAGGGCAAGCATAGCTGAGCTTACTAGCCATATGGTTAAACTAGCGCATGTGCCTACTCAGGTATGGAAAGGGTACAATCCAAGTAGTTGGTTTGGTAGCTGGTATGAGTGGTTTGGAGGGCTTAAGGCAGTGGTAGGTGGAGTCCTACTGATTTTAATGTTGTGTCTACTCCTGCCGTGTCTTATACCCTTAGTAGTTAGGTCTGTGCAAAGCCTGATAGAAAATATAGCAGAGAGGAAGGCTGCTGCACAGATAATGGCAATTTATAAATATAAGGCTCTAGATCAGGGAGAACTAATTCAGGAAGATGAGTGTTGAAGATTCACATCATAGGATAAGTCTGGTCTGGTTCAAAGGTAACTTGTGGTGTATGTAAACCAAGGTTAAGTGATGCCTCAAGTAATTGTAAAATATCAAGAGGCATCAAAGGGGGGAATGTGGTGGAATCTCGGTAAAAATAAATTTAGTAGGCCGAGATTACCACGTGGCATGTGTACGTGCATATGCTGACGTATCGATCAGTTGGTTGCACGAGGCAAGATACGATCAGTAGTGTACGGAGCATGTGCAAGAATACAGGATGTAGTATTCCCCTCCTCCATTGTGCTGGACAAGCCATGTGGTCAAGCAGGAAGTTAATTCTTATTTGTAATGATTGGTCAAGAGAATGTGCGGGTGGAGCTTAATATGGGAGGAGTTATGTGCCTATATAGGAAGCCTGCACTATTGTTCAGGGCTCAGAACTTGCTGTATTTTTGGTGACATTAGTCCCTCTGAGTCCCGATCGGTGATCCAATAAAGAATCTCTTCCTTCCTGAAGAAACCTGTGTCCATCCCTCTGTGCTTTGCTTCCGTCAGTTTCTCCGGTATCAATATGGCATGTGAGGATACGTCTATTTAACATTTGCAACTAATGACTGGACAGACAGTGAAGTGGGCATAGACTTTAAAATACATTATAGGGTGTTAAGATTACTGTCCTCCTCCTGCCTCTATCCTATGGTGGACAGGGAGAGGGGGCTGGGCCCTACTAGTGTTAATATTAATATTAGGCCTACCATCCACCACCAATGGGGTCAGGGGACAAAAGGTTAACTCCCTTTATATCATAACAAAACTCCTCTATATTATAACAGCCTCCACCTGCTGAGCATTAGTGGGGGAAGGGGAAGAACAGTGACCTGTCCACCATTTACTTATTTTAGAAGTGGCACAAGGTGGATTATGTGTGTCTTCCCCTGTTATATCACATTCCATTCTAATACACTGAAGCATGCATGGGATTGGCATAAGGCTATCCTAGCAATAATATAAGGCCAGGGAATAATGAAAGTATTTAAAAAATTGGGCAGACTAGATGGGCCGAATGGTTCTTATCTGCCGTCACATTCTATGTTTCGATAGCAATGGCTGCCCAGTCACTAGTTTTAAACATTTAGTAGATATAGCCCCTATCTGGCACCGTGGCAGGTGGGGGCATGGGGAGGTGAAATCCATGCATTACAGTAATATTAGAGACTCCAATAGGCTTTTTAACTTATTTTACTTTTTAAACCCCTTAACACTGTTACGGCGTTCTATGCCGTCCCCATTATAATGGGCTTTAAAGCCGTAATGGCTTTCTACCCCTGGAGGTCCGCGATCCTCTTCGGGAGGTCTGCCTGACAGCCCAGGCAGCCCTTTTCACACAAAAACAAATATGAACGCTAAATTTGGCCAGTGTTTGTGACTAAGTGGCTACAAAAAAAGACTGGACATACCCCACTTGCAATACCTTGGGTAATTCTTATTCCTGGGCTACCACACGTTCTCAAAGGTAACATTACTAATCTGGCAAATTTTTATCTGAAAAAAATGAAAAATGGAATGTGCTATATTAATGGGGGGTACTGTTGTGCATTTTATTGCAGTAAAAGCAAACAATATTATGACATTTACAGCTAAAATGTCAGGCGGAACTACAATTTTTTTTTAAATCTGAATTTCTCACATTTTTTTAAATTTTATTCATAATAAATTATGTTTCAAATATGAATAGTTCATGAGAAATTAAAGGCCTGTTTCTTCTGCACAAAACGATGTATAAGTGTGGGTGCACTTAATATGAAAGAGTTGAATTACGGTTGAACAGACATATAGTCAAATTCCAGTTTTTGTTTACATTTTGCTTTGATCAGAACATATACTATTGACTCTGTCATGAAGGGGTTAATATGCTAAAACAATCTATGATCAATTCGGTGAAAAATATAACTTAGATTATACACCTTTTTGGTGCTGTCTGTGCATGCTGTTTAACATGTTCTTTTAGTCATTTTTTGGCAATAAAAATGTAATTTTTAACTAAATACAGTCTCCTGTCTCAGGTCTGCCTGGTGAGTGCATCTGGATTTCTACTTTTCGTACTCTATAATGTTTTGGCAGCAGACAACAGCCTATGCCAGCACCCTGTGTGTTTTACAATTACTTTAGCTAAATGTGCTCCATGTTGCTCCACCTTTGTTTGTTCATGAGTCTGGTACAACTAAATATATGCCAAAATAATTCTACTAAGTATTTAGTAAACTGAAAGTCACCTTGACTTCTTGAGCTGCAACATTATAGAAAGTGTCAAATCATGTGAATGTATTTCATGTGAATTCCCCCTATTGATTTTCTTTGTTATAAAAAAATAAAAATAAAAAAAGATGAAATTGGCACAGCACTAGTACAAATAAACGTTATGGCTACCATGAAGGAAAACATGCAATACATAAACACTATAAGTAAAAAAATTACAAGTATGAATGCATGAACATAAAACTAAACATAAATTACTTAATTTGAAATAATAATCATAATAGAAAATATTGCTCCATCCAGACCAACTCGGCTACCTAACAAAAGAGAGTTGAGGTACTATATAGTGGGGGATGATGCACAAGATAATATATGCACAGAATGGGACATGTCTGTGCCTACCCCATTCTACTTCTTCAAGCCCTGTCTCAACTAAACATTTACTCATAATCACCTTTCTGTCTTTGCTGTATTCTCCCTGGTTCCAAGCATCCATTGTGTAATGTTCTTGAGACGTTGTTGTAACCGCTGGTGGTTCCCTTATTTACCACTATAATGTCTTAATGCATAGAACTTAGTAGGGCTAACCATACAGATATCTTAGCCATAATTTTATATAGTGTAAGAGATCCTCTATTTAACATATATAAATAATTGAGAATACAATATAAAATAAGGATTGTCTTGGAAGCAATCGTTTTGTCTTTTGGATATTTATTATATAAAAATATAAAATCCATTATAGCAGAGTTTATAAGATTAAATTACATGCTTGCAAATATCATTAATAGGTTAACATACCCTTCTGAACATGTCATCATGTCAGCCTCTCTGTCATTTTAAGATGGAGCAGCGTCTGTCTCCAAGTCTCTCCTCTGTATCTTAACATTTAAAAGTACACCTATTTATACCTTAGGTGTCTCCATTTTAGGTTACTGTAGTTCAAATATGAAAAAGTAACACTTCTTTTACTTTATTCAATTTAGGACCTCCCTTAATTTGGCAAACATACAAGGCCATAACTAAAGGGTGTATACGTCATGGAAATTTTCCTGACTTAGTTCAAGATGGCATCTTAAAGTCTGAATAGGTTATCTGTTGTTTATACTAAGTCGTAAGTGTACAGTCGTGGGAGATTCCCAGATTTGGGGAAGTTCCATTAACTTGGGGTTACCACAGTATATTGTGTACTGCAAGAGTCGTAGTATAGCCTTGAAGCTTGTTTATGCATTATTGTTATTGTAATTCGTCTGGGACAAAATGGCGCAAACATATTATGCACTGAGGTTATTGCTTAAAGAAACATCTATGAGAAACAATATGTTCCATTTCTAACACCTTGTCAGTTTGCAATATCTCTTAAAGACAAAGTACACAGTTTAAGAAATACAACATTTCATTCTAAAACTTGTAATATTTGCATTTGCCCGTAACATTGTCATAATGCTTGATGTGGAAAAACATCACTACACAAACTTAAGATGATCCTGAAATCTTCCATAGAAACAACATTTTGTGCTGTTGGTTTTGTTATCTCTGGGTAGATAGTTCAAATGGTTGCTGTAAATGGGGATCTGTGCCTGGCGAGGGTAGGTGTTTCGTGGTCCTGTTCTTTTCAAATATATATTGGTGTGAATGCTGTCATATTTAGAGAGTAATAAATGTAGTTGTGTTGTAGGTATCTAGGTGCATTTATTTACGTTTGTTGGTGTTGCATAGGTTAATTAATTTAGAAATTTCAAATTTCGCACAAATGTTAAAACAAAGTCTTTTAATGCATATTGCATAATTTAATGTTGTTCTTTGAATAGATATGCTATTAAATTGAGGTAAACATATGGCTACTGACATGATTACTTAGCCATTAACCAACTCATAAAATACCACATTTAACCCCTTAAAGACAGAGCTTCAGAAGCTTGTCTTTCACTTAATGACAACAGCATTTTTTTCATTTTTTGCTGTTTGCGTTCAACTGCAATTTGCATTTTACTAATTTATTGCACCGACACATATTATATATCGTTTTTTTAAAGGACAGAAAGGGCTTTAATTTGATGTAACACATATATATATATATATATATATATATATATATATATATATATATATATGCTTATTTATTATAAAAAAATACAGAAAAATGCAAAACAAATTAAAAATGTTGTGTTTTTTTTTTACAGTTTTTGCAATAATAATGTGTGCATAATTAGTGCAGGTTAAGGAAAGTAATTAAAAATAAATTCATTTAGTTGTTCTGATTTACAGAATATATAATGTGTCTGGGATTTTAAGTTTTTTTTGGTAGTTACAAAGCACAAGGAGTAAAATAAACTTTTAATGTGGAGCGATTTTAGAATTTGGTATGTTTGTCTTGTAAGCTTAATAGCCATAAAAGAAAACTAATTGCCACACAAAAGTATATATTTATATAAAGTAGACATCACAGGCTATTTACCTAGGGTTGTTTTGACACTTTCTACATAGCCATTTCACCGCCAACCTCTGCTAAATATTGGAGTAAAATTTAGTTTTTTGGGGTTTTTGGCACACAAACTTATAACAAAGAAATTCTCATGTGTATTTTGTAAAGTTGGAGTGTGCTATTCCTGTACAAAGTTTTATTTTGTGTTCAGTTACATCTGCTGAGTAAAATGACACCCCCATTGTATGTCTTTGGCACTATTTCGTGAAGTTACAGTGCCATATAGGAGACCTGTCCTTTTCAGTATTCACAGTAGAATTTTGAGAGACAGATTTAATGAGCCTATGCTTCCATTTGGGGTATTATAACAGTTTGACTGTTCAAAAAAGCCTACAAAAGCCTACCATTTGTAAAAGTAGACACTGCAGGGTATCTCATAAGGTGCATATTGTGCCTTAACATGCCCCCATTTTTTCACCAATATATGCTAAAATATGTGCATTTTTGCTGGGCAGTTTGTATATTTTACATGTGCCATTAAGTTCAAACCCCCCAAATTATGCTCGGCTAAGTCTTCTGAGTAAAAAGACACCCCCAATGAATGTCTTTGGCACTTTTTCATGAAGCTACAGTGCCATACAGGAGACCAAGCCATATCAGTTTTTACCAAACTTTGAATTTTGACGCTGGGCCTATGTGCAATTTCCAAGCATCTTAGCAGGGTTTAAATTCAAACTACCCCACAAAGGTCTACCATTTCTTAAAGTAGACACCCCAGGGTATTTCAAAAGGTATATTTTGAACCTTAGCGTGGGATCATTTTTCCGCTAGGTTGTACCAAGTGTAGTGCTAATAAGTGTTTTTTCTGCCTTTTTGACACACAAAGTAAGTTTGCACAGTATATTTTGCAAACCTTATGTGTGTTACCAGTGTATAATACTTCATATGTTGCTCAGCTATGTCGGCTGAGTATAGCAATACCCCCGTATGTATCTTTGCCAGGTATATGTGACATCGGAGGGGCACATTTGGGACACAGCCATTCCAATTTTTTTCAAACTTTAAATTTTTACGCTGTGCCCATATCCCATTATAGAGTGTTTTACCAGGCTATATAATCCAAATACCCCATAAAGCCATACCATTTCTTAAAGAAGACATCCCAGGGTATTTCAAAAGGCATATTTTGAACCTTAGAGTGGGATCATTTTTCTGCTAGCTTGTACCAAGTGTAGTGGTAATAAGTGTTTTTTCTGCCTTTTTGACACACAAAGTGAGTTTGCACAGTATATTTTGCAAACCTTATGTGTGCTACGACTGTATAATACTTCATATGTTGCTCAGCTATGTCGTCTGAGTACAACAATACCACCGTATGTACCTTTGCTTTTTTTTACTTTTTTAAACTTTTTTACTTTTAAAACTAGTTTTTAAACTTTTGTTTTGCATATTAATTTTTTTTAAACTTTCCTAAACTTTCTTAAAACTTTTTTTTACAGATTTAACATTTTTCTAAGCTTTTTTTTTACCG